ATTTCCTACGAGAAAACAGAACAGTCAAGCAGAACACTGTTTCTTGTTGAAATAAAATAAACAAATCCTAATAGTTGGTGGTTATTAAGCAAAAGATCACTGTCAAAAAAAAATACAGTAATAAAACTAAAATAGTTTAATTGGATCATTTTTTTAAATGTCCCCCAAAAACGGGGGTGGGGGGTCCTCTCTCTTTAAAAGCACTGTCGGTGGAAGAGTATATCTGAATGTGTTATGTACACATGTAATTACCTTAAATGTGCAGTACATTTCTTACACATTTTTGCCATAATCTATCACTATCCCTTTACATTAAGATATTATTATATGATTATTTTTATTATTAAAATAGGCAGAATACATTTAAATATTCAGTGTTGGCCAACAAATGTCCAATATTTTCTTGATATATACATTTTTTAAAATGAAGTCCCTATAGCCAATGAAGTTTGCATCCCCAATGGACAGTTCTATATACAATCTATAGATATATATTCTATGCAATAATGAGGATGATGAAGACAAAAAATAAACAGACCATGTCTAAGTCTATATAATTTCAATATTATAGTATCCGACAATTTTCAGGAACCATATAAAAACAAATCAATGTAAATACAGAATCCCTTCACTGTCATCAGTACCATGTGACACATTTACAGACACAACAACGTCCTGCGCCTTTAAATCTCTCAGCGACGCGTCTATTGCTTTTACTGAGACACAAAGCTCATCTATGAAATTTTAAAGCGAAACTAGAACGTGATCTCTAAACGATCCGGTAAATGCGGTTAGAGTTACCATGATATTTATTAATACTGCCTATACGTTCAACACAAACATATGAGTGTATTCATTCAGGGCGAGTGTGTACTGTACAGTATGTGTGCGCGTGTTTATGTGAGGGAGAAACAAAGCAACGCTAGAACAGCTTTCATTTTAAACGTACACTTACCGAGAACAGCATTGAATAGATATTTAGAGAGAATTTAACGAAATAATAGAAGTGAATGGTTTTTCTCCATTCTTCGTAAGACGGCATGGTGACAGCATGAATTGGTTTCAGTTAGTCTGAGATTTCCATGTATTCAGATGTTAGCCGTTGCCGCTAAGACTCAATGAGCCTTTGTTCTTAGAGAGACGACAGTCTGTTTTAAAGAGCCTAAGACCCGTCTGAATGCATAATAAGCACTTCCAAAAAAATGTTCAGCTTAGCTGTCGACTCCTATGAATTGTTTTGAAAAGCACATCAGCAGCTGCAAGGTGTAACTCTTATCCCAATAACAACTTCCGTCCCGCCGAACAACGTGCTGGACAAACCTTTTAAAGGGCCAGCACAGACAGACAGACAGACAGACAGACAGATAGATAGACAGACAGACCTGGAAGGTGTGTGTCCCGTCACATCTGGCGTGAAACCAACACAGCATTTCATAAAAAGAACATCATAGCAACAGTCAAACATGGTGGTGGTAGTGTGATGATCTGGGGCTGCTTTGCAGCTTCAAGACCTGGACGACTTGCCATAATTTAAGGAACCATGAATTCTGCACTCTGTCAGAAAATCCTGAAGGAGAATGTCCGGCCATCAGTTTGTGACCTCAAGCTCAAGCGCACTTGGGTTATGCAGCAGGACAATGATCCCAAACACACCAGCACGTCCACCTCTGAATGGCTCAAGAAAAACTAAATTAAGGTTTTGGAGTGGCCAAATCAAAGTCCAGACTTACTGTAAATCCGATTGAGATGCTTAAACAGTCCATTCATGCTCGAAAACCCTCCAATGTGGCTGAATTATGTTTATCTGGCTAAGTTCCTTAACTATATTTATGGATAATTAAATAATGTTTATGCTTTAATCGATTAATAAAATGGAATACTTCCTTTGACACTCTCTTATCTCTAACAAGCAACAAATAGACTGAAAACATACTTTTTTCATCTAAAGACTTTGACATAAAAAGCTCCCATCAATCAAGCATTGTCTTGACACATCCTTTGACTTTATATGCCCATGGTAGCCAGTTGATGATCCGTTTTATAAAAGGAGACATGTTTGTCTAGCTTGAAGAACTAAAGCCTCTTAAATATGTCCTGGGAAAAAAAATATCTCTGTATGATGTGTCACAATAGCTTTAATCCTCGGAAGTACTTGTTGTTCACTTCTTGTGGCATTATATCTGTGGTTCATAGAAAATCCTTATTTTTCCATTCACATACACAGCATGCTCACAGACATTAATTATCTCTCAGTTAGCTTGTGGTTGTAATTATACTTTTCAAAAATCTTCACAGTCCTGCCTAAACTCTCAGCTTTTCACTGCATGGCAAACATTCTATTTAAAACACATTTAGAGTATTTATTGACATGTTTATTGATTCATGGCTGAATGAATTTTATTACTGTACTCTTATTAAGTGTGTAATATTCAGTGTTATGGAATTTTTTATTGTAAAGTAACAGGTGCAATATGGCATAGGTTTTCACCCATGAAGGATATAATGGATAAATTAATGGCACATATTGACATATAACCTTTACATCTCTTCTGTTTCAATCATTGATAATGAAATGATCAGAAAGAACAACTTACACAAATGACACTAACTTCAGCAATGCCTGTCATGAACCACTAAAAAATAGTTAGAAAAAGAACTTTACACATTGGTCAGGTTAGACAGTGTATTGAATTAAACATTTTTGAATAATTTTTTTTTCTGAAAGGCATTTCATCAGCTATACAATCAATATATTGTTACTGTGAAAACAAAGCTGCCATTCCACATTCTATTAAATTTAGTTCACTGTTGCAACACTGGATAGATGGACAATAATAAACAAACCACATCTTAATTTTTATTTAAAGTATTGAATTGCTTTGCACATATGTCTAGATGTATTGAGAGACACTGAGCTTATAGGAATTGGGATATTTTTAAGATGAATGAAGGTCCTCCAGCATTTGGCAGATTGTAGCTCTTCTCTTTTTCTCTCAAGGTACATTAAATGTGACCCATGAGGATGACAGTTGGTGTGTGAAATTAAATTTCTGATTTCTTTCTTGTCGACAATTAGTGGTCAGCCCAATCTTGATTTGTTCAGCAGAGCTCCTTGCCAGAGGATATTATGTTGCTATAATCAAAAGGTAGAGTACACACAAGACTGACAAAAGGCGAGAGTATTAAAAGGATTGCCAAGCTTTAGGAGTGATCGTATTTCCTCAAGATAGTCTTGACCGGTTTAATAAAAGAAAATATCTTATACAATCCACAAAACTATAATAATGCAAAAAAAAAGCTATTAAGGAAATGAAAATATGCCCATACGTGTAGGTGAAATTAGATGTCTGCAACCCAGATGCTGTCATGATACATGGTTAATTAACACTGATGAGTTGCCACAGCACATCACAATTACATGCTTCTCTAAGTCCCACAGAGGTTCTTGAAGGAATCTGCAATTCATGTAATGCATGTGATGCTCTTTCCAACCCTCCTAAACCCACTGAATTGATTATCATAAAAGTGGTCCACAACAACATAATTTGCATGCCTGCAGAGTCCTTTTGTTGAGTTTTTTTACACAAGAAGAAAACAAACTAACTCTAATAGTGAAAAGAAGATAGCACCATAAATCTTTTCTCAATTGTGTGATTATCTAAAGGGGTTTATTTTAAATCATTACAGAGCTACTGAAAACAGTCGATTCGAATGCAAAAAGAAACAAGGCAATTAACAACACCTCACAGCAAAAGCAGAACACGTAAAAAAAAATTATTTTGTAACCCCCCCCCAAAAAAGCATAAATGCCTATAGCAATGCAGTGTTGGTTGAAGGAGTGATTCACTAAAATGCTGAAAAATTGCTCTGTAAAGGGCAGTTCCCTGGGCTTACTCTGAATCATAGCATCAAAACATCTCTTGTTACATGGACACATACGCTTGAATAATGCGTGCATTCTGTATGCTGAATGATGGCAGGAAAATTATGCCCAAAAAAAATGAGAACACCCTGTACAAAGCAAGCAATGTCCATAATTTGAAAGGCCTTCACAAAGCCTTTGCCCAGAACCCCATGAAAAACCTTTAGGATAAAATGGAACAGCATGTCAGGCTGCATGACACAATGTCAGGGTTTGGCCTGATGGTTCTGCTTCTTGTTGAACATATAAAACATGCCCTAAAAAAAATAATAATCCCTTCCTTTGCAGTCATAACAGCTTACAGTCTTCTGGGAAGGCTTGCCACTAAATGTTGGAACATGGATGTAGGGATGTGTGCCCATTTAGAGCATCAGTGAGGTACGCCACTGACGTTGGGCAAATGCTGCCTTGCAGTTAGTGTTCCAACTGATCCTGAGGCTGCCCAAATACAACTTATCAGAAAAATAATACAAATTATATTTACCCTACAGCATTGTCTTAACCGACTGACAGATTGAGCTCAAATTTAACGCGAACTAAGACAGAACCACCAGGTGGGGACCGTGCGCTTTCACTGAATTACTTGTGTCAAATTGAAATGAGTTGGGATAAGTAAATAAGTGGTTTAATGTGAAAAGGAACTTGCAAAAAGCGCCATACCAAATAATTGACATCGTTATCAAACTTGAAGTCTCAAATGAGCATATTCTGTCCAACCTGACAGAACCACGCAGTATCTTCCAACTTGAATATACAAGGTGCGCTGTGAATTAATCATATTTCATAGCCCAATCAAAAGAATGAAACTGATTTCCAATGACACGCGCCGCCAAACATCATCTTCCGACCTGCGTGGCACACCTGGCGCGTTCTGAATCACATATGCAGATTACCTACTCATATTTCGTATTAAACAAAACTGCATTTGAAAGGACGAGTCCCTTCGTTTTCCTCTAAGAAGCGCCTGTTCACAGCATCTGCTCGTGTGTGCGTGCGACTTCTCATTTGGCACGCGCTGCGCAATTGGCAGTGACGCTCAGAGGAGCGAGGTGAGTGTAACCGAGAGCTAAAATTGGTTTCGTGATGAGGAAAAGTGAAGGAGCACAGCGTTGCGATCTGTTGTCTTGTCTTCTTTGGAAGAATCACAGGGCTCATTCTTTCCTTATCACTGAATACAACTGAGGGATCTGAACTCTTTTTGCGTCATGAAATTCAATCATTAGACTTTTTTTTCTCAAAAGGAGACATGGTCGATTGAACATTAATAAGACATCCAGCCAAAAAAAAAAAAACGAATTTATTTAAATATCACATTTAACCCAATATTTTTTTTTTCCTAATAGCAATGGATTCGCTCATCACTTCCTCTGACTTCCAAAGTAACTGGACAACCAACTCCACTGCGCAGAATGAAACCGAGATATACTGGAACCAGTTTGTGCAACCGGTTTGGAGAATAGTGCTCTGGGCAGTGGCTTACAGCACAATTGTCATCGTCTCCGTGGTGGGCAATATCACGGTGATATGGATCATTTTGGCGCACAAACGCATGAGAACCGTGACAAACTATTTCCTCGTGAACTTGGCATTCGCTGAAGCGTCAATGTCCGCATTCAACACCGTTATAAACTTTGTCTACTCCGTGCACAATGAATGGTATTTCGGACTCTATTACTGCAGATTCCACAACTTCTTTCCTATAGCCGCCGTCTTCGCTTCCATATATTCAATGACCGCGATTGCACTGGACAGGTAAGTTCATTCGTTTCCATTCACACTGTGCGTGCGCCAAACGCGCGGATCTCAGCAGTGCGCGAGAGGAAACGTTGGGTTTCTTTGCATGTTTTGTTGTTAAAAAAAGTATGTGAAGTATAAAAGTGCACAACATTTAATTGATTAGTTCGTTTCGTTCTTTAAGAAGCCCCTTACAAAAATGGCCATGATAGTTTCATGGCCACAGTGTTTGGTATTGGCCACCCTTATGGTCAAAAACAGAAAAGATTCCGCTTTCCTGGTGCTTCTTTTACTGCTTAGTAATTTCTATATTAATTTATTATGGTTTTATACTGCAGCAGTAACTGTAACTATGGTGGGGTAAAATGTGGGAAGAGGATCCCCTTAAAACAGTGTGCATTTACTTTTAAAATGTAACATATTTAGATAAAAGTTGACCATGATGGTGCATCAGCTAATGTGCTATTAAAAGAAAATGAAAAGAACAAAAAAATGCTAATTAGTTGCCATAGCACAAAATGTAAAAGTATTCAAAGAAGCCATATCTTACCCCAAAGGGACAAATTTTATCGTTTCACTTCAAAATAAAAACAATATTTTTTATTCCACAAAATCACTTTCACAGACTTTTACATTAACTGTTCCCTCCTGGTGGAATGACCTGCCCAACTCAGTTCGAGCAGCTGAGTCCTTAGCCATCTTCAAGAAATGGCTAAATACACATCTCTTCCATCTTTATTTGACCCTCTAATTATTATATATTTTTTTTAGAAAACAAAACAAAACACTTGGCCCTCTAACACTTGCACTCTCTATTCGTATTCTATTCTATCTACTTGTTTTCTTTTTATTATATGTATGTTAGCGTAAGGCTTATTGCTCTTTTGTGGGTTTTGATTGCTTCCATTGTCCTCATTTGTAAGTCACTTTAGATAAAAGCATCTGCTAAATGACTAAATGTTCACCCCCCCCCCCCCCCCCCCCAAAAGTGATTTTGTTTGAGATTTAAAAAAATGAATGTAGGGGACATTTGACCTGTTGAAAGAAATGTGGTTTCTATAGTTGTGCAGTAATAGTAATGCTAGTTATTGTTACTAATCATTGAGTAATGATTAGTAACTGCCTTTACAATCCAAACACAAGTATAATGTTGTAGATCTTTTCAGGTCCATATTAGGAATTATCAGAGCTGGCAGATGTCATTAATTAATTAATTAATTAATGTAATTAATTTATGCATTTAGCAGACACTTTTATCCAAAGCGACTTACAGTGCATTCAGGCTATACATTTTTAACCAGTATGTTTTATTAAATAACATTATGTTTTATATGATTTATCTGTGACATCATATGATAGATGATAATCCCACTCATAACCTTCCATAGTCATCATTTAGAAATGTTAATTTCTTTAGTGTGTGTCTGTGTGTGTGTGTGTGTGTGTGTGTGTGTGTGTGTGTGTGTGTGTGTGAAATAGGTCTTTAAGCCATTTCCCCCCCCAAAAGTGATTTTGTTTGAGATTTAAAAAAATGAATGTAGGGGACATTTGACCTGTTGAAAGAAATGTGGTTTCTATAGTTGTGCAGTAATAGTAATGCTAGTTATTGTTACTAATCATTGAGTAATGATTAGTAACTGCCTTTACAATCCAAACACAAGTATAATGTTGTAGATCTTTTCAGGTCCATATTAGGAATTATCAGAGCTGGCAGATGTCATTAATTAATTAATTAATTAATGTAATTAATTTATGCATTTAGCAGACACTTTTATCCAAAGCGACTTACAGTGCATTCAGGCTATACATTTTTAACCAGTATGTTTTATTAAATAACATTATGTTTTATATGATTTATCTGTGACATCATATGATAGATGATAATCCCACTCATAACCTTCCATAGTCATCATTTAGAAATGTTATTTTCTTTAGTGTGTGTCTGTGTGTGTGTGTGTGTGTGTGTGTGTGTGTGTGTGTGTGTGTGTGTTTGAGTGGTGATGAGGTAATTGTAAGAGTGCTGTGTCTGCCTTGTTTCTTCATTCAATTACCATGTGTAGCATGAGAGATTATTCACAAGAGGGGCTAGATTTCAGGTAATGTCTGACCTTTCATCACCCTGTTCTAATTCTAAGATGTCATTTTTCCAACCTTTTGACACAGCACAGCTAATACTCAGAAAACTGCCTGCTTTCATCTATCTACATGCAGAAACATGAACTTCTTTACAATTCTATTACCTGAGTGACCCGTGGGGGAGATGGAGGGCAGGCGTCAGGGGAAGACTACACTGTGTGTGTTCAGGTCCTTATAGAGGAAATACTTGATGGTTATTTATCTTAGGAAGATTCTTTAAAAAAAAAAAAGCAAGCCAAGATTACATTATAGCTAAACATGAAGCATACACAGCAAATTAATCATGGTATTTACAAACAAATAACTCAGAGCAAATGCCTTGATTTTTCTTGTAAAGAAGACATTTACAGAGCCTAGAGCTTTTCATTAAGCACTCCAAGTAGTTTTGGGAGTAGAATGTTTCAGTAGAATTTTAGCATGTTTTATCTTCTGCCAGTTTTAAGTGATTTCTGTTAGGCAGTGATTTGATTACTATCAACTAATGGGCAATAGGAGGATTGAAAATTGAATTATGCCTAAAGATGTAATGTAGAAATAACATTTAATTAGCATTTTCAGAATGCTTGGTTTCTGACAAACCTTAAATTGTTTTAGATGAAACCGTTAAAGTCAGTATAAAATGAAAATGCACCCTATATCTATTTTCTAAATGCATGGTATATTTATAATACTGTGAACAAATCATCCATGCATTTTATGTTTCACTTTGTTTATTTAATTTTGAATTAAAATATCATAGCTAGATCTTCCGGTGAAACAACATACTTCTCCAATCATATAGTCTACTTAAACTCCCTCCTTTCTTGTAATTGACTGCAAGCTCATGTTGAGATTTGCCTCCATCCAATCAACAACTGGATAGAACCAAACTCATTTTTTTTTTTCAATAATCCATTTAACTAGGATGTATGTCACAATATGAAAAAAGATCAGTTGCTACGTATTTATATTTGTTATATATTTTTGACATTATTTATATTTAAATCAAATTGTATATATATATATATATATATATATATATATATATAATATTTATATTTTTTATGATTATTATTAATAATAATTTCTATTTATATATTAAATTTTTTCAATATAATATTTATATATTATTTAATAAATTATAATTATATAATGATGTACTTTAATAACATTTAATAAACATTTAGTGCTTATATTTCTACAAATATAATATAAAAAATATAAAAATATAAATTACTGTAAACAGGAATGGAAATATGGTCAAATGTATTAAAGGGAGCTGAGAGCACTGCACTCTTATTATTGAAATTGAAAATCAGCCAAAATAAGTCATTTTTCTAAATTAGTATACTTATTAAATGTTGTTGTTATTTGTATTATTGTTAATAATAATTTATGATTATATTACATTTCCATTAACATTTATTTTGATGGATATTGCTCTTTATTTTGCCTTACTGTGCATAAGAGTATAAAATCATCCAATAAAACCCAGTTGTAAGTAATTATTCCAGTACAAACTCTCTTAGGCACTTTGACTGATGTGTTTTTCCTGCCCAGATTTCAGCTCTGTTGCTCTGGTTCAGTCATAGTTGCTTTGTTAACACATGCAGACGGGTGTACATTCACAAACAGCAGCCAGGCTGTCACCTCTGTGCAGACAGATCACTTAGGTTGAGCTGCAGTGTGTGACATAATTGTGTTACATGCTTTAGTAGCAATAAACAATTGCCTCTCTGTCCAAATATAACATCTCACATTCTCACTCATCTCAGCTGTTTTTACTTCCTTATTTTATTTCTTGCATTTAAAACATGTAAAGGTGCTGACAAGCACAGACTCCTCAAAGTTGAGCTGTGACGGCATGCTAAAGAGCATTTGCGTGCTGGTGAAACAACACATGGCTCAGAGGTTCAAACTGTCATGTGTGGCAGGAATAAGATTCCGAATCAAATTACCAGACAGAAGCTAAATTTGAAAGAAAAGCACTGCAAGCATCACATTGTGTAACCGCACTGTCCGTCTCTGCTCCCTCTTGCATGTTGTCGTTATTGATTTAGCCCTGCCGCTGTTCAGACCAATGATCTGTTGCTCTGAGCTCCACTTATGTCAAACAGATGTGCTCGAATGTATGTCTGTGCCGCGTCTGACCTCTTTACCTGCTGGAGACTTTGCCGTGAGTCTATTGTCAGTTCCTCATTACTCACTCATCTTTTCTGGCACTGTATGTAATCATGTTGTCCTTCAGGACACCACTTTAACTGAGCATGACTAGAGAGGCTGAAAACAAATGAATGGGGAAAAACTCTGATTGCCCATCACTTATAAGCTTGTGTGTGTGTGTGTGTGTGTGTGTGTGTGTGTGCCTGCTGGTGGTTTAGTTGTAAGGTTTTCCTTATTATCAGTGGAGTGGAAGTTCTCTCATTTTACTGAATTGCGAATGTCAGATTGACGTTTTGTTCTCTTTGATGTTTTGCTTTTATACTTTGAGGCACTGAATTCCAAGGAAATTCAAAGCAATAGTTTCCTCTAAAATGAACATTTTATGATAATGTACTCAACCTTATTTTTCTAAACCCGTATGAACAGAAATAATGAAAAAATGGGGATTGATCTGTCAAACTTCAAAATGACGAATACACTATAAAACACCCATAAAAGATGATCAATGTTCCCCTCTGCTCTAAAAATCTATTTCACAAGTCATATGGACTGCAAAAATGGTGCATTAAAACTATTAATTGCCAGATACCATTCATTTTTGCATGTAACAAAACCAAACATCATTGCTGTCACAGTGGTACACTATTTGCTACAATGGAAGATTTTCAGTGAATAGCTATAAATACAATGTTCTTCACTCAAAGCTGTCATATTGCTTCAGAAGTTGCAATATAATGCTT